ACAACTTTTCTTTTGATATATTTTTATGTTTGTTACATACTAAAAGAATCTACTTGGTTTCACAATAAATTTTTGATTGGAAAACTCGACTGAAATTTATTTCATTTTATTTGGAAAATAATTTGGGCTTGGCCAACACTCCTTTGTTGCTGCGAGGCCTCCAGACCTCTAAATCCGGCCCTGAGGGTATATAATGAGGAAATGCTGGAGAGACTGTGGCTGCGAGTGTTACACTCGGCGTGGTAAGCGGTCGCAATTGGTAGCAGTGCCGTGAGCGCCATAGCTGAATAAAATTTGATAGAAAGTAGTCCCAGTAGAATTTACGAATCAGCGGTAAGTAAACTGGCATTTTGAACACAAATTCCAATGATGTATGAGAACAAAAACCAGTGTAACAATTGAATAAGTTACTACTTAAGCATTTTCTTTACTTAAGACGATTACTATACATTAAAATAACGTGACCTCTGCAGTAAATTCGCGTTTTATATCGATCGAGTTTTATTAAATAATTTTTTTTTTGACATACAACTGTTCTCTATTTACGCTACTACGCATTAAATCTCATTATAAAATTCGCTATACTATTACACAAATCACACAAACCATATTATATTAGAGATGCTTCAGGTATACACAGTCGAGATATATGACTCCTCTGAGACAAGTGCAAAATTAAATAATTTTTTTAGTAGATATTAAATTGTCGCCTCTAGGATCTAGATAATATTTCACCTGGATTCGTTGTGGGCGCCCAGAGAGCACTTTTGCTCCGCATACGCGAAGGTTACGGCTTATATAGTTTGATTTAACTCCTTGAGAATACATAGTTTTGGAGATTAAGTAATTTTATTAAATATTTAAAATACTTAATCAATGAAGTCTCTTATTATATGAAGAATGATATCACCCATATCATCCTGACTACATAGAATGGTGAACTATCAAACACAATTAAATAAAAATCTATTATGTATTTTAAGAGCAGTGTTGACTTAAGCGACCCCGACTAGCGAACCTCATCCCAGAGGTAGTGTGTTCGTATCGCTGTGTGTACCAATGAAATGTCCTTTCAATGTGCACATTTAAAACTGGCTACTACGGTGATGGCATTCGTGCGAAACTGGTATGTCCCAAACAAAAATCGTCGAAGACATCGATGCTGCAAAGGTTCAATCTGAGGCTAAGATCTATTTAGGGTTTTAGTCCCTCTGGATTATTATTTATCAAGTACTTTTAAGTATTATCTTTATCGTAGCAGGTTTAAGTTATAGCAATATTTTATTATTAACTTAAAGTATTGTGTTGTATGCGAATTTAGAAGTAAAAGGAAGTATGATTTATGACGTTCTATGTCAAATAGAAAGCATATTATAAATGCAATTACAATTAAATGGTATCAACCATGTTTTGGTGCAGCCAACAACTATAATTACGAGTATAGGGTACTTGACGATACTATCCAAATTCTCTACGTTCATAAGTCACACACCACAAAGTAACAGTTATACATAGGGTACTGGTGCGAATGCAATGTTAATTCAACGAATTAATAAAACCTGTTTTCAATCTATAAACGTCCATAAAATGAACCGAAGCGGTAAAGCTGTAACCAAACAGCTGTTAAATACAAATTTAATTCGACAACTCGTAATGATTGATCGAGCCTTTATTGAAGGGGGAATTAAAATCTTTACAAGGAAAGTGAAATTTTAATTTTATTACAAATTTCGACGAGATTGCTGCGTAATTTAATTTTTGTTTAGGTTCCTGTTGTACTTAACTGATTTTATAAATGATTTTTAAGAGATTTGTGAAGTGGAATGTCGTTATGTACCTTTGAAATACCTTTATGTGCCTACAAGTAGATTTTACGAAATTTTAATAGGAAAATGACCCATGTTATATAACTATACTACGCTTACTTTTTGACGACTTTTACACACTCAATCTAAATATATAAAACAAAGTCGTGTTAGTTACACCACTTATAACTCAAGATCGGCTGGACCAATGTTAGTTATCTCTTTTTTGGTGGATTCTTCTCCGATCCGAATAACATAATAGGTAATAAAATATCGGATAAGTTATCGAATAACAATAAATTAATAAATTAATTTTACGAATGCAAACAGCATGTGGTGCCATCTGTTGACAAAACTACGCATCATTTTACATCGAATTACTGTCAGTTCAAGAAATTCCGATCTTGAGGTGAATGAGGAGATGCATAACAAGGCTTTGATCTTGATCGAAGACATGTGTTACCACCATATCAGAAAGTGATTTAACATGCAGTATCGCAATATTGGCGCTAGAGAGAAGAGAGCTAATGTGTAAAACTGCTATTCTACTTTCGCAATGGCAAGCAATACAACATTTCTGTATTTGCAAAAAAAGTTGTTAATGTCATTTACCTTAATGAAATCCCAAATTAAGTTTAACTAAAGTTAAGATGATATTATTAGACTGTTAGGCGGAACGAAGTTCGGCGGGTCAGCTAGTTCTATATATTTTTTTATATACTGTGCCGGCCTTGTATCTACAACTAGGAACAATTATTTCTTTAAACCATTTCTACGTTTTATTCCGACCGACAAATACGCTTCCACTAATACATATTTAGTTGGAATGCTCATTATTCCAACTATCCAACTGTTAGTTAGCTGCACTATCTAGTATATTTCCACATAGCCCCGAGGCATCTCTAATGCCAGTGTGCACATAAACATTTACATAATTTCATTAGGAAAAGCTGAAGGAAAAGTGATTTTTCCACATACATGAACAAGGTTTATCTTATTATGCGAGAAAATTATTTTATGACTACCGCTGTCGTTGGAAGTATTAAAAATATAGGGGAAGGTTGGGACCCTTCGTACGGTTTTCACATTTTATTTTTAATTTTTTTCCTTTTCCATTAATCAATCATCTGCAAGCTTAAATTTATAGTCCTACTATCTGAGATTCATATAAAAAAATGACAAATGATTTCATCTTATGGTTCAACCATAATTATGATTTAAACTAAATCTGGGAAACGTACGAATCTGCCCCATTCACGGGGCACCTTCGTACAGTGTTGAGGTACCTTCGTACGCTGTGGGGTAGTTCCGTACGTGCGATTAAAACGACACGTATAAATCAAAATTCATTTATTAGCAATGAAATTAAACACAAAAATAAAGATTTAACTTCTATTAAACAAAAATAAAATACTTTTCTTATAGTGAACAAAAATTACATAGCTTTTAGCATTAATTAGTTAGGTATCTTAAATTTAGAATCACATTTTTTAATCTTTGGTGCGGATTAGCACTTCTTATTTTCGGGTGTGGCAGTATAAATTCGTGGTTTTCCTGGCCGTCGTCGTCATTTTTTTGTTTTATTACTTCTTACAACATGCGGATAGGGTCGAAACGCTTCTGGTGTCAAAACTGACTTCGAAGGATTATTTGATGGATTGGTAAATTATTCAAAGCATCTGGTTCACAGGCATCAAAATCAACCTTAATAAAGATAATAAAAATAGGTATTAATATATATTTACATAGACGATAGCAATGATAGCAACACAGGACAAAGTTAATGCAAATATTAGCAATTAGCACACTAATACAATCTTTCCTACCTACCAGAGGGTTTAGTCAAGATGCCTTATTATTATTTGTATGTAGCAAGTCGAAAACTTAATTTGTATGAAAATGACAGTTCGTGTCGACAAAATATTTTCATACAAATTTAGTTGTACAATTCGTTCAAATGTGCCCCATCTAGTGCTGTCCGAAAGTACCCCACTAACTGAATAACAACAAAATATAACTTATTTTAATATTAAAAGGAAAACGTCATAAATTAAGTATTGGAGACGTATCTTAAGTATATTTTGCTAGTTACTGATAGAATACTCTACACGAAAACTTATTTTATCTACGGTAACAAGAGCAAAAAACATTGATCAAAAAATTACTTACCGAGCGCGAAAACACGTCCATGCCTGAAGCTTCACACTCATCGGTGCGAATTTCACCAAACTTCGTTGATGTATAGTTCGTACCTCGACTCATGCACACATACAAAAACAAGACTGTACTTTGTTTCGTTCAAGTTTTATTTTGACTGTATGAATGTGCCCCGCGTACGAAGGGTAACGATCTTCCCCTATGCCTATTAAATATTGACACCATTATAAATAAAGTGAAGTGAAGTAAATATTGACAGTGACATGTTATTGGATTTAGATTAAAAAAAAGTGTTTTTGACGGACTACGTTTTTTCTCCATTCCAACATATTACATTACCGTTATTCTTAAAAACCTAAGTCACCTTACACTGTCGATAATTTGGAAGTTTATAAAATAAAGTTCTTATTCTTCTTATAGTCATCGATAATATTAATAGAAAAATATCACTTACTGAAACGCACCATAAAAAAATCACTGTTATTGATTCCCTTGGCTGGTCTACGGCTCCACAACTGCCACGGACGATAAGAAAGGCCTGTCTAATGTTGACCTAACCACGAGACGCGGCAAGCCGGTGCGTCGATAGCTATTGCATTGCATGAAAGTGAGGGTAGACTATTGAATAAAACCGTTCCTACCTACATATATAGCGGCGCCCGTTGAACGCCGTTATGTAAAGTACTTATTATTTCTGTTAAGTTATATTTACGCTGTAATCGAAAGTTGTGTTTTAAGAAGAGAACTCAAATAGAATACGATAAATATTCCGTAAACGTTTACCATAGCTTGTATCTTTATTCTTATTTCTCAGGCTTTCTGTCAATCCAATGTCACTTTTTGACAAGATTATCGTAATGACAGAAAAACGTAAGTAAAAGTAATATATTGTTTTCATTATTGTGTTGTTTTAAAGAAAGCATTTCGACCCTAACATAAATAAACAAGAAAGAAAGGTGCTAAAATTTATATTGCATTATTCTTCAGTTATTGGAAGGACATACAAAAACACTTCAGACATTTTTATAATAGCAACAAATGGATGATACTCTCGGGTTTAGTGAGCAAGAGAAGAAGCCGTCAGATGACTGGCATCCTGGTGACACGGAGGAAAGTGTTTCCTCTGTAACATCAAAGATTTGTCCTCATTATCAGGACCTGCAAGTACTTCAAAAGGTATTCTTGAACAATTGCAAAAATCCACGTCTTAGATTATTATTACGTTATAAAAAATATAGACCTTGAATATGAATTGACTGTAATAGAAAATTAAATTTAATAAATTGTCTTTTTACTGACTCTGCGTTGATAAATAATTGTGATGATGACAAAGAAAATAAATATAGTTTAAAAAAACTAAAAAACGGCGCGCTCTGTGCCATATTTTTCGTCTATCGAGCAACCCACGCTTTTTCACAATAATACCAGTATTTTTTGTTCATTACTATTTTCAGCCTAAATTAGGAATTATTTTTCACTTTTTAGTTTGATGTGCTTTAAAAGCGTGTTTTTTAGTTTTTTTAAACTATATTTATTTTCCACTTTTTAGTCCTAGCAGCAATAGGTACGTGTTGTCTCAATTTAATCGTATTGCTTTGTGGACTTAAAAAAAAATTCATTGTTTTTTCGAGATAAACCTATTAAATTATTATATTGTCGCTGATTCTTTATAAGTGTACAAAGTTTGAATTAAATCTGTCCGTTTAATGTGGGTCAAAATCGAGTCCGAAGGAGTCGGTTACATACATACATACATACATATATACATACATACATATATACATACATACATACATACAGGTGAAGCTTATATAAAGCGTGTAATAAATAACATGTATTCAGGAATAGAACGATAATTCAAAGTCTTAAATTTAATAATGCATCATTGTTGGTATTAATTATTTACAGAACGACTTTTTCCTGGACAGACCACAAATACCAGCAACGTATTGGGAAAGATTATCTTTCTTCAGGAGTTATGCAACGAGTCAGACTAGAACAATGTTTCTTTGTGTACAAGAAGAAGACTTTAGAGTGTTAGAATTTTATATGTACTTAAAAAACTATTGTGACGATATCGCAAGGACGATTTTAATCAACAATAATTATATATATAATTGTTTCGACGTCCTTAAGTTAAAAATGTACGATACAAATAATATAAGAATTTACCAATTCATAATATGACGAATAATGTAAAATAAAACAGCTCTATCCCAGGCCTTTATGAAATGAACGGGTGTGTAAACTATTCAAATCTTACAGATATCTCTGGAATTACCTCATAAATGTTTTCTTCAAGAGCTTACCGTCCACTTATGTGTACGCATTTTTAAGTGCATACGTGCCGGACACACATTTTTTTGTTGCGAAGATATTTCCCATCGCTTATGGTATGTTCAGTTCTTTCTACCGCATTTGTCTACGCAATCGACTACCATTGAGATTACCATTATACACTTCTATAGTATCAGTATAGTTAATAAATATTAGAACCAAACTCCGATTGCAACCTAAAAAATAAATATTAGAAAAAAATTGAAAAAATTTGCTGTTTCTAAATGACATATTTGCAACTCAACACACCTTACAAACAAAAGACCTTACACATATGTAAAAACAACTTACAATTTATAGAGACAAAATGCAACCGGCTCATCTTGTTGCAAATCCTTTTGTCAGCGGTGATTTTCAGCCAGTCCTTGTTTCCCTTTATCTACATATTCTAGCTTAAAAATGATACAAAAAGTTCTTTTAAAGTTAAATTAATATATTCTTATGTATATGATAAGTGCATTTAATTATAAAAAAAAATTATAATCAACATTAATTTACAATTAGCGGTTGCGTTGGAATATTCTTTAGTAGTTAGTATTATTATTAAATACAATAATAAATAGAAACTCAACTTATATAAGACGAGTAATATTTGATCTTAACTTGAGTTATACATATATATTCATTTTAGGTTCAACTTTAGCCTTCATAATAACAGCGTTTATAGATTTAATTATGGTAACCTATAGTACCACAAAGTACTTGGATTATCTGGTCCTCGGATTTCGTTATCAAAGCCCATGGAATAGGTTGGTCTTATAAATAATACGATTTCCTTTTATAAGAAAAATTTCACTTCATCATTATCGGCTTTGACTGTCAACGCAAGAACAATGTGATTAATTATTAGTACGTAGTAAATTATTATTATTATTATTTTATAGAACAGGGGGCAAACGGGCAGGAGGCTCATCTGATGTTGAGTGATACCGCCGCCTATGGACACTCTCAATGCCAGAGGGCTCGCGAGTGCGTTGCCGGCCTTTTAAGAATTGGTACGCGTTTCTTGAAGGACCCTTAGGTGAATTGGTTCGGAAATACTCCAGAGGGCAGCTGGTTCCACAAAGTGGTGGTACTCAGTTGTGGAACGGCGGACGTCGAGGTGATAAATATGCAGCAAAACCAACTTAATTTAACCAAATTAAGTTATCCTTAAATATGCAGCAAATAATAAGTTTATGAAAATTCAAAGCTTCTGTAACTTTTCACTGATTACTTTACAAGTAGAACTATAATTTAAAGTAGCTTTCAGTACTATCTTGTATTGAAAAAAAAAACGTGAAATACCTTTTCGTAATTGATTAACAATTTTTTGTGTAGAAAACCTGAATGCTGGTCAGTGTTTTAGGAAGTTATCAGAAGTACGAGAGAGAGTTCGTTCTTACAAACGTATTTTTTTTTTTGATTGGACAATTCACACCAATTGACCTAGTCCCATGCTAAGCTGGTGAAGCTTGTGTTATGGGTACTAGGCAACGGATATACATACATATTATTACGTAGATAGACATATAAATACATATTTTTAAACACCCAAGACCTAAGCACAACACCAAATACTCATCACATCGATGTTTGTCTCAGCCGGGGATCGAATCCGGGACCCATGGATTCGTAGTCAGGGGTACTAACCACTAGACCAATGAGCCGTCAAATATAATTTATATTTATATAATTTTATTGTACGAATAAAATTATTGTTTGGAATTTCTTTGCAGTAAATAAATCGTTTTAATAGAATTCGTGTCGAAAAAAAATTGAATAAAAATAGCAAAAATATCGTAAGTACGGTTTTGCCACAAATCGAAGGATATCAGAAAATAAACTCTTTGAAATGTTATCCTGCGAAATGTGATTATTTGTAAATATTTAATATTTTATCCATCATACTTTATCAGATGTTCAGAGAGTTTTAATATAACATATAAAAATACTACATTAAAGTGCTATGAAATTCAAGATTTTGCCAAGCAGTTTATAAATAAATCAGTGATATTTGACGACATAGTATACATTTCAGAAGAAAACGAACATTTTCAACTACCGCAATTGCTATTTTACTTGTAAGTATTACAACTAACCATATCAAAAGCTTTTTAAATTTTTATTATATGTATATTTATAACCTATACTTAAATAAAAAACCAGTGCCGCTTTTAGTTCTACTCTGGGCTATAGAATATCATATCTGTTTCGTGATCGTTTTTTTTTTCTTATAGACAAGTTGATGGTCAGCCTCTTGTGCCTGAAGCACGCTGGCGAAATTTTGGGTCTAGGGTCTGCCGATTTCCTCGCGATATTTTCCTGCACCGTACGAGCAAGTGTTAAATGCAGAAAGTTCATAGATGCGCAGCTGGGGTTCGAACATACGAACTCAGGGCTCTCACCCTGCTAAAGCCACTATGCCAACTCTCACTCACTCTCACTTTATAATTTGAGTAAGCGCAAAAGAGAATGACTAAAAACTATTTGGATATCGTAATACCTTAACTGTTTTCACCACTGTAGGCTTGTTTATAAATATTAATATATAGGTTAACGATATATCTAATGCACAAAGCGTTTAAAGACAAACGTTTTTATGTTTTAGGTCCCGCATGAAATATTTTCAGAATTGTAATGTGGTATTGACATGTTCTTATTTTGTCATATTTTGGCTTGGAGCTACGATAACATACCCTATGTTTTTCAAAAGATTTCTTTGGAAGGTATGAGGTAACAATATGATATGTTTTCTTTAGAATTATTATCATTGACTGTAAAGATTTTGGATCCGTAATATCTTAAGATCCTTATTACCGACGCTGCCTTTATTGGATGTTCAATGGCTGCCGTATAAACTTTATTTTTTATTTGAATAGCCAATAAATTTTAGTTAAGTTATCTTTTAACAAAAACAAACAGGTATGAATTAATCCACAGTGTAATGTATATTATTTTAGACGCTACATATTGCTCAGATGGGACTCAATATGTTTTTAATAATTGTATTCGTTCATCTGACAATAATTTATTTTGAAAGGGGTTATAAAAAATACCCAGTGTACCGTAAGGAATTGTTGGATATATTGCAAGTAAGTATAATATACACGAGTAAAAAAATTGCCAACGTTAAAAAGATGGGTAAGTTCAGGTTTTATTCTGAGTCCTAAGATCTGGTTCGAATCCAGGTGTGTACTCTATGATAATATACTGAGGAAACCAATATGTCTTGAATAGACAAATAAATAAGTTCATGACATTTTAGTTATTATTCGTTATCTTACTTACTTCCCGTAACCGGGCAAACGTTATTTTGCCAAATAAATGATTTCTAGTGAGAGTTCAAGGAATTTGTAGAACTGATATTGATATTAAAATGGAAGTTGGTGGAAGAAAGGTAAAAATTAAGGTTTTACTTTTTAAGCAAAACCATAGAACAATATCCAACATATAAATTTGTGGGTAGGCCACCACTATCACTTAGTGGTTTAAAATCAATGTGACACGATAATTTTATATATAATATGATGTTTATATAGAATTTTCTCTGATACAGCCTGTATCGTTTTGCAGAGTTCCGATTTCGACTTATTATCAGAATCGATGACAACGCCACCTATTGTTCATATTTTGTCATCAAGAAGTAATATTGATGTATGAATTTTACTAAATAATTTCCTTTCTAAAAATAAAACCTTTCAATTGCATAATGTATCTGAAGTTTACAATTGAAACATAAATGAATGGCATTAACATCATGATGTCATGGTCATCAAACATTTGAAACAGCCTTATCTTAACTTGCCTAATAACTTTATAGTCAAATTTGCTTTACAATATGGTATGGTACCTTTTAAAAATAAAATAAATCAATGGCGCTACAACCTTTTTAGGTCTGGGACTCAGATTTCTGTATCTGTTTCATGATCATTTTTTAGGCAAGTAGGTGATCAGACTTCTGTGCCTGAAGCACGCCGGTTTCCTCACGATGATGATGATTCCTTTAAGATAGTGGTCACTCTTCTCTTGAAAATACGCTTGGAAATACCTGAAATAGCAGCTGGTTCCATAAAGTGGTGGTGCGCGGAATGTGTCTTAAAAACTCTGCCGTGAAACTATATCTAGCCCACATTATATTTTTTCGATTATTAAACGGATAGGCTAACGTCATTTCTAATTGAGACTTAATTTCTTTCTGTAGAAGAAGCCGATACAAGACAGCGCTCTCATAGTGACGTCAAATGCTGTATATTACACATTTCGTGGATTTGTCACTTATTTACTGAAACTTTACTGTGACAATTTGGCAAATACATCGCTGCAAGCAATCTATTTTAGTATATACATTTATAATTATTTATAACTAAGCTATTATATCTATATGAGATTGTATATTCAATCCAAAAGTGATATGAAAGGGAGTGAGTGAAGACTACTGTAAGATATTGAATGCCGGGCCTCAGTGTTATAATTAGTGTAAGGGCTATAATTATCAGCGTATAGTTATTTTAATTGATCAATTAAAGCTATTCAAACATTATTTTCAGGTTCCGAATCATTATTTTACTTATGGCCGATATATTTTTCACAGTTCTATTTGGGAAATTTGTTTACAATTGTTTTCTTTTTATTGAATCTTATAAACGAATATTTAGTTATAGTAAGTACATAATGTCTTTATTTTTTGATATTATATTACTTAGCAAGGTTGTGTGAAAAAAATCTAATTCGAAAAATATATTAATTAGTGAGTTTGACTGTGGTGGATAATAAGAACAACAGGATGAGAAAGTAAATCAACATAATATGAAGGTCAAAACGGCGCGTCTGATTGTGATTGAACAAGGCTTTAAATTTAAATCTGATGGCTTTAAATTTAAATCCATCACGTTGAGTGTCAATATTGAATAGAGATGCTGTGCCGTCCTTTCATTTTACATTTTCATCGGCCGATAACGTTCGTGCAGCTATAAGACATCGTAAGAGAGACTCCGACTCGCTTAGATCTAAAATCTTAATCTTAAACCTTAGGAAGTTGTAGCACCGATGGACTATTTATACTTTTTATTTAATTAAAATTCTCCTTTCATATGTATACACCATGCCTCCTGCTGATAGAGAACAAGTCTTTGTTTTTTTTTTAATTTATGTTATTATTATTAATTACTTAATATCTCATGTGGAACAAGGTGTAATGGTTGCAGCTCCTTACAAACGTTGTGTAAAAAAAGATGGCGATTAAAAAGAGTGGCGGAGAGTTTATTGCCAGTTCTCTTCCGTTCTACGCCCTTTATTTGAGAACTGGCAGTAAATGTAAAATTAGAAGCATTAATATGTATTTCTTTACTGACAAGTCATAAGTGTACATTATGTTACCTATATGATTAAATGATTTTTTACTTTACAGTAATGATAGAAATTAAGTTTTTCACACTGAAAAATCCTTTACACTTATCTTTTCAGGTGATAACGGTCCATTGTTTGATAGAAGCTATTCTGTGTGAGTGGCGTTGGTTAAACACCTGGATTCTTATTGTCAGTTTAAGTGTTCTTGGAGTGGCGACTTTCCACTTTATTCCTACAGAGGTAGATAAAAATCTCATTATAGTGTATACATTATAATTTTACAACTCTGCTTAGTGGGATCAAAATATATCATACAGCGGCAGTGGTAGCGGTGTTTGTGTACATTTATTTTATTAAAAATATTAAATATTTGATTACATAAAACGGAAAGTTAAAACAAGAGAATCCTTGTCTGTAGCTAGGTGTCAACCGCCTATTAAACATTCTTCTTAAATATTCTCTTAAAGACCTGCTCCGCTCAACAACTCTAAGTATAGTCAGGTGGGGTAAATGCATGAACGGGGCAAATGTAATACCATAACTTTAACTGTTTACACACAAAATAAACTAGCGCTGGCATCTCTTATACACGTAAAGTACTTCTTGCACTACACTCTGACAACTTATTGAATCTGATGGATTGACAGAATTTTACTGATCTCGTCGCAATAAAAACCAAAGTATATTTCAATTTGCGTATTTTATTGTTATTACCCCTTTACACCGGGAAAATGCAATAGAGAGTTAATCTGTAATTATCCATAATTAAATATAAGTATTTACATCAAACAAAAGCCTACATGTTTAATATTCACAGTAAAAATTGTTTGTAAATTGTAAAAGACCACAAAATAACATATAGATGAATGTGTCAATTTAGTTATGGTACTCGCATTTACCCCACCTGACCCTAAATAATTGTTTAATTATTAATGAAACTCTTCCTAGTTTGTCGTATAGGTCGTCATTTTGACTAGAAAACCATTAATTTGCGATGGAGGCTTGTGCTAGATAATTTATTTATTTATAGCCATATATCAGAAATACAAAATACAATATATCTATACATTATAACTATTGTTTTTCTTAAGATATGATAACCGATTCTGTGTCTTTAAGGCCTCCCTATTGTCTTCCATTTTTCCTTATTGTATGTACCAATCTCGTCCAGGTCTTAGTCTTTCCAGCCATTTTCATGATTTCATCGGCCCACCTTTTAGATTGCCTACCTTTGTTTCTTTTATGGCCTCTTGGTTGCCATAGTGTTGCAATTTTGCTCCATTTATTTGCTCCTAGATAATTTATTAATTTGTTCCAAATATAGTACAATAATTTCAGTATAATATTATTCTCTGGTAATCTCTTTATTCTCTCTCCTGCTGTAAAATTAAGCGTAAAATTTTACGCAATTCTTATTCAATTATAATTTTTAGCTAATTGAAATTATGTACATATTATGTACAGCATTGATGACTCTTATGGAACTTATAATAATATTCTACTTGTATCCTCTGGGTCGTTTAGTCGATGACATGACATTTTTCAACGGAGTTCGTCCTACGAAGTTAAGGATTTTCACTTTTTGGGCGGCACCTGTTTTTTATATGGTAAATAAAATCTTTACGGAAAACTAAATGCAAAACTATTAACAACTTTATTATAAAGCTAATAATTTTATTTTCAGCTAAAGATCTATTATATGATAACTGGACTTTTCAAAATAGTAGCATTGACGACTTTACCTCAAAAATACTTGTACCAATATATCTACATACCGGCGGTACCGATGTTTTTCGGGGCCCTGTTTGCTTTTTTTAAATATGTCATAGTAAAGAAAATGGTAACTAAAAATAATCAAAATATGAATCTATTTAAAATAATTTCAGTATAGCCATATGTATGGGATTTCGCGGGTGTTCTTGAGCGTCTTGCATGGCCCGTGCTCTTATTTGTATCTCAAGCAATATCTCATCTAGTAACACTGTCGAATATGTACAACTCGGTGTATAAGTTTTTGAACTGAAAACTTCTTTAGCGGCGTTGTACATTTTTTTTGGAATGGGTAAAAAATGTTAAAGTCGCGTCAGGACACGTGACCTGATCGAAAATTCGTAAGACGGATGGAGAGTAGACAGCTGGCGCGGCGTATTTAATGTGATATAAATTGTCATGTTTGTGTACGATAGCGCAATAAATAATTATAATTAAAGCAATTCGTGCAAAATTATTGAACCTAACCATTCCAAAATATCAAAAATGCACAACGTTAATATTCAAGTTTTCACTTCTGCCGGCACTCCCGGAGTACAACCCGTCGTTATTTTTTCTCATGAAACTAGATTTAAGTTTTATTACCGTTGTATAAGTTACCTTAGGGTAAGACTCAGAAAAGATACAGCGCGAACTATGACTCCAATATACTCGTATTAAATACATTTTCGACAAACGGGACTTGTAGATATTTCAATTACAACTGGTACTGAGACTGCAATTATTGAATATTTTATTAAAAAATGTAAAATAAAGGGCAATTTTTAGCTAGAAACATCATTAGAATCGATCTTAAAAAAAACGACTGCAGTCTCGGGATGTAAGCCTAACAAACTTACTTTCCCATTCACTATAACAAAGTGTGAATTTGATGATGAGTCATTTTAGAGAAAGAACGCTAATGGAAGCCTTTTTAGACTGAAAAGACTTTACGAGGCAAAGCATTACATTTATCTCCACGTAGATCATCACCTTGGTTAGAGTTTTATATACAAACCTAGATTCTCAATCAAATTTTCCTCACTTTTGAGCTCCTTTAATAAAGGAAACGAGGAAGTAATATGTTTGTAATTATTGTTTGGAATTGGCTGTAAAGAAATAAATAAATATATAGATTACAGATAAATAATTATAGGAAGATTATAGGAAATATCGAAACCGGTTCAATCTCTTTAGGTCACATGTTTCCTCACGATGCTATTCATTTCTGTACTTGCTCATGTATTAACTGAGCACATTATAGAAATTCTGTATCTGGCACAGAAGCGTACCCTTAGGCCTATATATTAGAACGTATAATATTTTAGAACGTCACATAAACTTCATTATTTTCTATTAATTACAAAAATGTCCAACGTCAAGTTTTCTCAGGAGACTCAATATTGAAGGAGACAGATCTAATCCACTCCATGTATGATACAAAGAAAAAGGAAAGTGTTACTTTGGGCAAAATTTTAAATGAAAAATTTAATTAGCGCGTGCCCCCACTCCTCCACTTAAATCTAGTTTCAGGATATGTCAATCAAATTTTTATTTGCTCGAGTGAACCTTTTTCAAAACAGACCTTAGCTAGGCTGACAAAATTTGCTGTTTTTGGTTCAAAGAACGCGATAAATACTGTTATACACCATTTCAGGGTTGGATACAAATGTTTAAACCACTACCAAATTGGGGGCCAAAAGATTATACTCTAAGGCAATTGAGAAAGAGATACGACTCGCGTTTTGTAAGTACGATTTGATAGTATATATATTTTTATTAAAATATTATTAACAGTTATACTTTGCATATAAATTTCGAAAAGTTACCATATCTTTTTGGTTTAGCGTCATTTTAAAGAAGGCAATAAACAGTTGTAGTCTAATAAAGGCATATCTTCGCTGTAGTTTTTCATTTCATATACATATATAATTATTCAAGTTTCAATATTGAGTTTTTGCACCCAATGTTGTTGCAATATCCGTAGCGCTGCTTGGGATCGCTTACAAAGTCTTTTAGGTCGCTATCGATATCATAGTGATTTGTAGCGTTTATTAATACGTTATTTATAAATAATTTATTTATTTTATGTGACTCTATCATAGTTTATAACATCGCAAACGTCAAGAGAGCTAAGCCGTTACCTGATAGAGAAATCGGAACTAAACGAGTACAAGTTGGATGTCCAATATGAAAGTCTTTCACGACGACCAAGTGTGAAACCTACAATTAACTTAGAGGTTGAGAAAAATAAATAATTTAAACTTTCTTATGTTTAATATAAATATATATATTTAAATATTAACGTTGTGGTTCTTGTTCATTAATGTATATGTTAAAGTTCGTATTTGGATAAGGTTTTATTTTAAACTAGATGAACTCGTGAACTACGTATCACCTACATATATTTGTGTCAAAACGTAATACAACATTTTTTTTAAACAGACCAAAGACAACCTCAAACTACACCTATATATGACACTTCTTTATTTCTGAAAAGACAAAGGAACTGATTTTATTATTTATGTTTTCCACTGTTAAAACCTTCTCTGGACTTCCACAAATAATTCAAGACCAAAATTAGCCAAATCGATCCAGCCGTTTTCGAGTTTTATTCGATAATAGATAATACAAAAGTATTATAGAGTCTAGGTACGAATTGCAGCCGTAACATTATTATAACTAAAGCCTAAAATTGTCTTTAGAATATTCATCCAAATATAAAATGTCAGAAAGAGACAATTGAGCAGAAAACTTCACTAGATTTAATTTTTTGAATACCAGTATATAAAGGATGTTAATATCGCCATCATATACACCATGCTAACGTTTACGTCGACATAGTAATAATTACTATTTTCATACAACTTCAAAGTAACACCCAAAATCTTCATCAAAAGTAAAACCGAGTGCATATCCACGCGTGTAAATAAACGCGCGAACTAATATTACTTCTCTGCAAATACACAGCTGAAAATTACTAGAATTTCGCCGGAGGTGATATTTTTGCACGTGACTACACCCTATATTTCGGATTTGTATGTGTGTATAACTGTAACTGTAACTGCAAGTATAGAAACTAAATTTGAAAATTGTTATGAGTATCGTATTATGCTGTGAATTTTTGTTGTATAGAACAGATGGATACCGCCGCCCATGGACACTCTCAATGCCAATATGAAAAGGCATCGATAGTACGTTGTCGGCTTTTTAAGAATTGGTACGCACTTTTCTTGAAATGAATATCTTCGGCAATAAAAAAATCCAAAATATTATCACTCCTTCAAAACAACTTCAAAATAAAATTCTTCTCGCTATCCACCATTGCTGATGTCGACCTAAATCATCAATTGGTGTAAATAACAATAAATGTGCTTCTATCTGTCAAGTACTCGCATAAACTAAATACAATATTATTATATAAATAATATGATACAGTCTTGTTTTTATTAGTTAAATTAATTATAGTTAAATTAATCTTAGAATTTGAATTTATCCTAGTGAATTTTAAAAATAAAATAAATCAGTGGTGCTACAACTTTTTTAGGTCTGGGTCTCAGATTTTTGTATCTGTTTCATGATCATTTGTTAAACTCATAGGCAAGTAGGTGATTAGCCTCCTGTGCCTGACGCACGGCGTCGACTTTTTGGGTCTTATGCAAGCCGGTTTCCTTATGATAAGGAAAACCCTTCACCGTTCGAGCGAATGTTAAATGCGCACATAGAAAGAAAGTCCACAGGTGCACAGCCGGGGATCGAACCTACGACATCAGGAATGAGAGTCGCACGCTGAAGCCACTAGGCCAACACTACTAGTGAATTTTACCATTTGAATTAAACTAATCTTTATTGTATTATTTGGCATATAATGCGCGTATCTTCATGTAAAATCCATTCACTACTTTCAGAATTCCCTATAGCACAGATCATAAACTTGAGCACTGAGAAAATTGTGTTTTAAAAATTCACAGCAGAGTAAACGATGTAATCAAGGAATGAGATGAACAGATTTTATATGGTGGAACAATGCTTTCAGAATAATACATGGTCAAAATTGATTGGCCTAGTAGATCTATAAAAAATATATTTCGCGTTTTTGAACTATACTACAGTACACTTTGTTTAAAAATTGGTTTTAAGCATAGTATACCAACACACCCAGCAGTGTTACCCTAGAGGATTGCAACCCTGGGAACATAAATTCTAGACTTACACATCTATTTTTAACACTAGCGTACTGTGAAGGCAAATATCGTGAGGTTACCGGTATTAAGACAATATCCAAATCGAAATGATTCAGACACAGGCTGATCATACAATTTTTTTAATAAAAACAATCATAATATACAATCTGTGGCCAAAACTCTATTGTGTTAATACCATCACTGGATTCGTGTTATTAGTAATAATAACTAATAATATGTACTAACGTCTAAATATAGTACTTGTGCCTTTGGGTTATACGAATAACGCTAATTGCGCTGGGCGGAATTGTAATAACATTGTTCGATATCTTAATTTCATGATAGGGACAGCATCGAGGATAGAAAACCTAGGAAGATGATGAAATGAGATGCAAATAGGAAGCAAAACATGAACTATGAAGTAATCGATAATTCATTATAGTAGTCCAAGATCCCAGAGCGATAAGACACAACTTATTTTCTAAAGCATAGAACCTTCGGTTCTAAGTAGTCTCTCACCAGAGACTACAGTATTAAAAAGCACACCTGCTTTTTAATACCTGTACGCTTATGGAGTTGGCTCGGTTACACCTGCGCAGGTACCAGGTGAGAAAGGTAACTAAAAATCAGAGTTACTTAAGTTAAATTTTAATGACTGATTTTTATATATATTTTGTAGAATATTACTCTGAAGTAATATCAAAAAAGTCAGACGCTTTCCATGGGCCAGAACTTTTGTCAGACGCTTTAAAGCTCTACAAAAAATAAATGAACTTAATTTATTTTTAAATTTTTGATTTTTATATATGTTATTCAAATAAATATTACAAAGCTATATTTAATCAGTCAGACAAATTGTAATGACCAAACATCCCCTAAACACAAAAATTACTCAACTATGAGTATGAGCGCGAGAGCAGTATACATGCGTTTCAGAGTAAAATTTTGGGAAGTAATT